ATGGTCCTTTTCATTGAATATATTCTATTCTTGGCTATGCATCTTACGATAGACAAAAGCTGTCCGAATATTTCAATGAAACTCTTATTGCAATTTTCGCTAGGTTTTACATGCGTTATATGTATTATATCATCCAGAAAACAATGTTAATTAGGATGCCAAATTTATAGAGTTAATAAATCATACATTTTCTTTTCATCAGTTATTTTAAAACCGATTACCGCTAAAGGTCCTTTTAATATATTATATCATGAAGAAGAGAAACCTCACTTATTGCTAAAGAGTTTTAAATATTTTTTCGTGGGTTATTTTCGTTTTTATTTTAAGGGGTTTCAATTTTTTTAAACAAATAAATGAGTTTTGAAATAATAAAGCGAATACTGGGGCAACCTATAGAATCATGATTTTCAAGTCGACCTCAACAGTTATGGATAAAATATGAACTCGTTCTATCTGAAAAAATTCACAAATGAATCTATACAATCTACAAAAAACTTAATTTTTACGTGCTTTTAACCGAAAAATAGGGAGAACTGTTTATAAGAGAGAGTGCAATAGTAACAAAACACAAGAAAAGCCGTTAACTTCGGCTTCAAAGCTATATCTTTGACCAGAACTTAATTTTGACCGGATAGTTTGTATGACAGCTCAATATTTGATGATCATATGATTATCTACCATCAACCCCTGATTCGAAAAATGCTGTTTTGAAAAAAAAACGTTTAACGCCATTTTATCACTTGAATTATGATTTCATTACCGYAAAGTTTACTTTAATCCAACAAAAATATTTTCATAGTTAAAAACTTAACTGTATACGTATTTATAGTATACATCGCGAATTGACAAAAATATTGACAGAAGCATGACCGATTTGCCCCAATTGCCTTAACAGTATGGTTAAGCTTGGATTTGCTTAGCTTAGAAAGAAAGAAGATTCCATAATTTCGATTGATAATCGCTATTAASTACATTTGTCACATTCGTACAATATTTTTCTTATGCATTAGCTTTTGGATGGATAATTAACACGCAAAAAATTATATTATATTGTTATATACCAAAGTTTACAATTTTTTACAACTTATAACTTTTACAAACAAAAAATTTGATACGATGTTGTTGTTAAAATATTTWTTTATACAGCTATATTGTATTAAATTTCAAATGAATAAATATTGAACTTTACCACTGTGATAATACACAAAAACATATACAAAGTGAGATTAATTAAATGTAACAAAAATGCAACTAACCTCTCCAAGGAGCCAAACACTTCATAACTCTCGTTTTGATTCACCAAATTCAGTATATCTTTCACTGAAAACGGTGTGGTATTTAAAGAATCCGAATTGGTAAAACTTGTCGGACTGGCTTGATTGTAATCGTAGTATCCCTGCGACACCTGTGATTGTTGTTGATGTTGTAACATATTGTTGAATTTTAACGACTTGATTTGACAATTTGCACTGTCCACTTGAAATTGTCGCCGACACATACACAAGTGTATGTGAAGATTAATAAAACAAAACAAATTGTTTTAATAGCACACCTGTTTTGACTAGTTAATCCACTTCCTTCTAAAGTACTTTTACCCACACATTGTTTATTGTTATTGTACATATGAGCTGTATTAGTGTAGGTACGTAAATTTATTTTATTTGCAATTGATATTATTTACCGTAGCGACAATGCAAACGCGGTATAATTTAAATGCGGACGGGCCGCTCGACTGGTTCCGATTGACTGCCTTCTTCTTTTAATTAACTGTAAACGAAAACACTGAGCCCATGTGTCAGCCATGGCATTGACACACGGCAAAATATACATATTTACATGCACACATAGCCTTTGCCTTGCCTAAGCACACAAACACTGCTTTCGTGCCGTCGTTTACCCAMCCCTTGTTCGTCGTTTCATTGGCGAGCGATGTTGTGATTTGCGTGAATGGTCTGTGTGCTTAAAAAATGGCTGCCTCTGCAACCAATCACAATGCGGCGGAATGTTTCATTCCGTTATTCACGTGTGTTTCGTTGCCATTTTGTCGTTTGATATGGCGAGCCATTGGCGCGGCTTTTGATATATTATATTATTTTTGTACCAGTCGTTTATATTTAAATAATGTTTTGCAAAATAATTATTTTATTTATTTTTGTAATATTTTTAACATCGACAAAATATAGTAAAATAGTATTTCTCATTTGGTTGAAAGGTCAGAGAATGTAGAATTATTATTCATTATTTTTACATTTATGGTTTATTATTCTACTTGTTCTATTTAATGTTGTACTACCGTAATCATAGGTGTTATAATTGTATTTATKTTATAAAATTATTTTAGGGGGTCATCCCTTAGGTTTGGAATTGAATTTAATCAAAAACAAGAAGCTTATAATCAAATGTAATGGTGTATTTATTGTATAAACAATATAAAAATCGAAAAGTTAGTTCAGTGTATATTGAACTTTAATGAGTTATTAAAATTTAAAATTTTTGGTTGGAAAGAAGTTTAAGACATTTAATTTGTTGATAAAAACACTTAGTTAATTTTTTTTACAAAACTATAAGTAAAATGATATACATAAATATTTAATATCTATTMAAAAAAATCTATATACTAAATTCTACTAATTAAACTGGTCTTATTTAAACTTTCTTGCCTACATATTTTATAGGAATGTATTTATAAACAATTTTTATTTATATATTCAGCCGTTTTTATGTTGTGTATCTTTTTTCAGCTAACATAAACTGTCTCGAGCATATATTATATTTGTTACAAATCCGCTTTATGTTTTTTATTTTTATGAATATTTATCATGAATAGTACTTGACAGCAGACTTTCAGTGAAAGCGCAAGCAATTACTTTTCGACTGGAAATTAACAAAAGGAATGGAACTTGTAAAACAAATACTAGTTTCTCAGTAACATTTTCAGAATAAAAATATCATTTTCAGAAGTTAATTTCGGTCCAAATTGCCTGCCCCCAATTTGATAATTAACTTATTTATACACATTTTCTGTGGCTTCAAGTTGTTGACGTGGGCTTTTACTATTGCACCACTTCACGCACACCACATCAGCACTCACGAACAAAATTGTTGTCAACAAAAATATAGAAATATGGAAATAAATATGGTCCTACTTTGCGTGTGGACGCTGTATTATAAATTACTCATTTCACATTGTAACATCTGGCAACGGTACAATGTTTTTTTCAGGAGGCGTAGAAAAACAAAATAGTTGAGTTTTGCTAAATGTTATTAGAAAAAGTTGGGGTTTTTATCAACTGATTTAATAAAAAATTTCTAAAATAGAAGTGCCACTATGGCTTCACATTTGGATCCTCAGCTTGAGGACCGAATTTTGCATGAGGTAAARTCACAAGGTGTTTTCGATGAATTTCGAAAAGATTCTATGGCAGACGTGGACACCAAACCTGCTTATCAAAATCTTCGACAACGCGTTGAAAGTACTGTGAAAAAGTTTCTATCTGAACAACAATGGACGCCGGACATGAATAAAAATCAATTACGTGAGAAATTGCGCAGACATATTACAGAGTAAGTCTATAGAACGATTAGACCTGGTTGTGGTGAAACATATTTACACTTTTCTAATTTGCTTTTGCAGATCTGGGTTTTTGGATGTAGGCGTGGAACGTATAGTTGATCAAGTAGTGAACCCGAAAATAGGTACCGTTTTTCAACCGCGCATTGAGGAAATCACATACAAATATTTAGGACTGCCACCACCACCCGTTAAACACGAACCGCCTACACCAATCATGCATCCACTACCACCGTTGCCATTGACTGGACCGCCTTTGAAAATAGAAACCAGCAGCCTTTTGCCAACTGGACTGGAACAAGTGAGTCCTGATTCCGATAAAGCGACAGTAAAATCTGAATGTTACGGAGACGACCCATCCGTCATGGATATGGACGTGGATGTCGATGATAAAACGGCAGACGAGGATGACGAGTCACCACCTTTCGAACCACTTGTGAAATGTGTTGAACCAAATAAAACTGTGAAGTCAGAAATTAAAAATGAAGATCTAGSTGATATGAAGCAACAATTCAACAACGTTAAAGTTGAAGCAATACCAAGCGGAAGTATGATAAAAGTTGAACCAGGTAATCAACAAGATTCAGAAACACAGGACACCTCCGTGTCGGCAAATTCAACAGATCCCGAAATTGCGAAGCATGCCAATATATCGTTTGGAACGGAAGCGCTATTATCACAAGATTCTCAACTATCGCAAGTGTCGAGTGACAGTAACATCTCTGACGTAACAGCGAATGCATCACATAGTTTCATGGATAATTCTAGTACGCACAACACACCACAACAAACAATTTCCGATCAAACAGCAGCAGCTATTGAATTAGCTTCAGCGAATATATCTGAGGAGGCACAAATGCCAAAATTCAGTGAAAATTCATCGGAAATGTTATGCGCAAAGTCAGCGCCGTCTGAACTACATTTCGATATTAAAAAAGATGAGATTAAATTTGAAGGTATGTTGGGATGCATTAGCCCATTATATTATATATGTGTTTTGTTAAATAACAATTTATTTATAGGYACTGAGCGAAAAACGAATTTGTTGGAACAAGAAGGCGAATGTAATTCAGTAACTGCTGATGATATATCGTTGAGACAAGTGAATACATTGTGTGAAAATTTAGAAAGTAAGGAGGCACCACATCACTTTGGTAATTTAACAATTGATACTGATGTGGAGCGCATACAAGYTCCGGGTATCACAACACCTGCAGCAACACCTACGCCTACTCCTCTTGACAGCAGTTTCGGTTCTTCCTTAGAAGATGTAAGTACTCAACATTACAAAGAGGAAGTTGCAGTCGAAACCAAAGCTGAATCTGTGAATGTAACAGATGAAGTATTTCCAATACCTATGCAAGAGCAGCGAGATAAAAAAGAAGCAAGTACTTCACGAAATCACGGTTCCTCGTCATCGTCTTCGCGACACAAAAAGCATTCTAAAGATAAGCGACGATCGCACAGCTCTAAAGACAAGTATAAGGATCGGGATCGAAGCAAAAACAGGAGTAACGAGAAGGATAGGAGTAGTGATCGGGATAGAAGTAGCGATAAAAGAAGACATAAAGAGAAAGACAAGCACAGWGATAAAGAGAAGAACCACAAGGAGAAATATAGAAGCAAGGATAGAACACGCACCCACGACAAGAGTACAAAGGACAAGAACGATAATACCGAACGTAGCAGTAGCTCCAAACGTTCTAGTTCCTCCACCGGCCGCTCACATGATACAAGTTCAAGTAACAAAAATGAAAAGCAAGTTACATCGAAACATTCGAGCGCTTTCACGTCTTCATCAAGTTCGTCCAGTCGATCAGAGAGCCACGATGCGAAGCGTGAGAAACGCGAAAATGAGAAAAAGTATCATCGAAGCAGTTCGAACAACGGTGGTAGCTCAAAACAAGATGATGGCAGTACAGAAACTACCAAAACTGAAGCGCTCGTTGATGATCACAATAGTGAAAAGGCGAATAAAGTGAGCCGTCGTAAGTCAACCGATTCGAATGACGAGGGTGGAAGTGCTAGTGGCACAAATCGTAAAAATGGCGGCAGTGAGCACGAAAAAGTTGGTCAAAATACCATATCAAATAACAGCGAGAAKAAACAAAGTCAAGTTAGAGATACGAAAAACTCTTCGCGTAGTCCAAAAGGGAAGTCAAAAAATAGTAAGTTTGTAACGAAAATTCTAAGAGAACTTTATAGTCAAATGTCCTAAAAATATACTGTATTTTTTTTTTTTTTTTTCAGATCTCGAAGAGAAAACCGCTACCGCGTCGACTATGATAACCGAAGATGTAAGTTCAAATGCGTTGGCGACACAACCACATGGCAATAAAGTTGTCATTTTAAGTGATATGCTTGAAAATCCCAACATCAATTTCATCGATCTGGGACCATCATCAGCCACTTATACTCACACCTCCGACATGATTCTCAAAGATTGCAAAATGGAGACCAAATCAACTAAACGCGCTGTTACCCCAGTTGTACCGAATACTCAAGCTGCCACCGGGCTCACAACGGCGGATGAGTGTCAGCTACTTTTCTTCGAAGAAACAAGTGAACAATTTTCAGATCGCTTGCGTTTAATAGATAACGCAATGGATCGCTGTCGTCGTGTGGTTAACAATTTACGTTTCGATTGTGTCAATCAGTTGTGCGACACTTATGAAGAACGGCAAAATGAAGGCGAGACRGATGGCAGTGAAAGGCCACAAACCTGTGCTACTCTTAAAATCGATTGTGTGCCCACATATGCTGGAGATCGTGAATACTTCAACAGAGGCGAAAGGAGTGCGGATAGCCCGATCGGCAGCACGTTCGATGGCGTCTGCGACTTGCATGGGAAACGTAAACGAAATAATAACGGTAGCCTTGTACAAAGTAAGCCCTCGCCCACTCCATCCGATGCGAGCGCGAACTCCAAAGAGAATATGGCGTTGGATAAAAATGCCGGTAAGCTTCTATTACGCTTTGGCAACACACACATTTTGTTTTTGTAGATTTTTGCATTGTTCATGAATTTACTTAGTTTGCATTATTGTGTAGCACACATTTGTTTGTTTTATTTATTTATTTTATGAAAAGTAGTATAGTTGTTGTTKTTTGCATGCTTCTAAAAATTATGTAAAAAGGTCTGTGAAGCAAGAAATACTATAAGCACGAATCTTTTACATGTATCGCCTTAATAATTTAACAATAAGATAAAGTAAATATACCTTTCACATACCCTGCTTAAGTTTGCAACAAAGTTTTAAGTATATATATAATTCATTTTTGAGTTATCGTTCTGAAATTGTTTTATTTGAGAAATTATCTTCATGGCATAGATTATTGTCGAAGGCAACGCTACAATATCTGAACAAATTATTTATAGCTAGATGTGCTACTAGAGCACATAGCTTCCATACATGCTGACCGATCAAAATCAAGTAAAACATCTTTTTATACCCTTTTTTTGCTATAAAAAAATACGCCTGTGAAAGGTAATACAGCTGAAGAGCAGCCGAATTTTGTAAATTATTTGCCACAAATTTGAACATTAAAAAAAAGTTGAGAATACAGTGTTACCGTGTTCGAACGAATTTTGTGAGACTTCAAGTAATACTCTTCTTTATTTACTATTATCATTTATATATGCAAGAATATGCAAAAAAATATTACTGCTCCACATAAATTTATTACTTAGTTGCACAGTTATTGTATTAATCAATATTAGTTGAATACTTTTAATTTTTTTTTAATGGAACTGTGCACAATAAAATATTTATATTATAATACGATAATAAAAATAATGATATTTAAAATTTTTGGATTCCTTAATCCAGTAGGCGGTCTTCAGGAGAACCTCTCAAAGTTATCTCAAATCCGAAACCCTAAAAAAAATATTGTTATAAWACTATAGATGAGTACAGGTAAATCAAAGGGCTAGGAAAAATTTTGTTTTTTGTCGTAGGGGGGTTAAAAAAATCGAAATTTTTATCAAAAGTATTATTCCTTTGAGCATTACCATATCTAAATTGGTCGTGTGAAAATTTCAAGTTGGTCGGTCCAGCTATTCCCGAAAGCGAAGAAAACAAATCGTTCCAAGAAAAATGCTTTTAAGGTTTTGGTAACCTATTAAATATTTCGGATAATATTCAAAAATACATGTATATCTGATATACATACATATATATGTATGTATACTAAAAAATAAATTTTTCGAATTCCACAATAATATATAACGATTTAGGTATCCAATTTAAAAAATAATGTTAAAATATAACCGGAAATTAATTTTTTACTTACAAAAATTATTTTAGCTCTTACTYCTTTAATCAATTTATTTATTTTCAAAATCTACACTCTAATTATATTTATGAATTACTAATATACTAGCGCTAAAAACTGGTGACATACCTACACTCATTTTTTGCAAAAACACTATAATTTTTCTACATATATATTAAAAAAAAAATTAAATGGTTTTTTGAATTGTAAAAGAAATTTTGAAAACAAAATTATGGTAGAAAATTTTGTAAGAAATTGCAAATTACTTATTCGATTAACAGTAATCACGTTGTTTTCTTTTATTTACTTTTCGCTCTATTCTTCATTGATTTTTAGATATGCATACAAATTAAATCAAAGAAAAGCAAAACTCAATATGAAGCGTTTATTAGGTACTGGTAAAAATGTAGCGTCTACGCGTATCGCATGACCTAATAACATAGTCAGTCATAAAAGAGTTCATTAAAAACAAATGTAAACAAAAAACAAAAACAAAAATGTATATCCTACAAACCATGCTGGGTAAGCAATTTGTTAATTAATTTTGAAGTGTTTTCAATTGATTATTTGAGTATTTTCCTTTTTTCGTTTAAATTTCCTAAGCATCTTTTTATTTAAATATTTTAAATATAATCTGCTGCTACTTACTTTTCACCTACGTTTTTTTTTTTTTGTGTATGTTCGTATTGATTTTACCTTTCAAGCGACTTTAATGTGTGTGTCCTTTACAGATGAGGTGAAATGCGTTCGCCGCATTGCGCCTGTAAATAAATTGAGTCAACAGCGTTATAACAGCGAGGATTTGTACAAACCGCGTCCTGTTTTAAGTCAGCGCTCACGTCGTAGAGGTATGGATACTATAATCTAGAAATAGATGTTGTTTTATCGGCGACATAAAAAAATATAATTAAAAATTAAAATTTATATACATTGCTTAAATAAAAAAAAAAAAAATACATATACATATATTTATACAAGTGAAAACAGTTTTTCATTTTGGTACTTTTGAATTTCTTCAAAATAATTTTACTTCATCTCATTAAAAAAAATCTACGAGTTATTCATGATCCAGTTTGTTACTCTGTGTAAAACTATTGTTTTGCGGGTCTTATCTACTACGCGGTAACATTTTTYCTGAAAAGTAATTAGCCCCTAATCACCAACAAAACTGTTAAAAATCTAGTAAAAGATATTACTAACTACTAGCCCGTTCGTATCGAAATTTTAACTCAGGTGATTAGTGGTTCAGTGACACCCAATAACGGCATTACATTAATAATCGATTATTACTATAATATACAAACGTCTCGACAACATCGCCCTAACATTTAATATTCTAAATAGTGAGTTAATGCCCGTTTTTTCTTTTTTTTTTTTTTTTGCAAAAAAGTCTTCCAAACTCCAAATTATGTCATCTCTAAATGTTGCTAAACAAGAAAAAAAAAATAAATTTCAGTTTCAGTTAATCGAACCTTCCTTTTTCGCAGTGATCTGCCTGGCACTGTAGAGCAGGAAGATGAACTAGCTAGAAAAGTCAACACCCGATAATTAGATTCCGATATAGAGAATATAGGTGCATATCTGTCTTGTAGATATTCAATAGACTATAGACTAGAGGAAACAATTACTGGCTTATTCAACAAGCGATTGGCAATACATTTGCCCCTCCCGCCCCCCATTAAATGAAAAAACAAAGCATACAATTTGGCGAAAAGACTATTTTTTCWGCTTTTCTCTTTGAAAATTACAAGATTGTGTAATTTAATAACAATAAAATTTTTATGTTAGCATATATTAAGAGTTTACATTTAATATAATTTAAAATAATATTAACAATTTTCATATCTTGCAGTCACCACGCTAAAACCACAATCTAAATATGTAGAATGAAAACAAAAATGTATTGAAAAGACCTGTCTTTCAAGTAGCAAAATGAGCATCATCTTCTTAACTCCGAACATATAAGGCGTGTATGGTGTAATATATATGTAATCACAGTAGAAATTCTTTTGCAACGTTTGCAACTATGTGTGTGTAATTGTATGTATGTATGTTGTTTGGAAGTGTTGTCGATTCCATGTAGTAGCGTGGTAATGGCAAAATAATAGTTTCAACTTGCTGTTAGATCGCGCTGCACCTGAACTTAAACGCAGTTCGATACCGTGACTTGTATTTTTATGCACTCGTATAGTTGTGTTGTGAATTTCTTGGAAATTCAAAATGCTGCTAACAAGTATTGTGCCTACAACTACKCATAGCGCCATTTTTTGTTGTTCTGTTCAGGGGATTTTATTTTTCTTCTTTCTTTCCTTTTTTATTAGGTTTATTTAGTGTATTGTAATTAGATTACAAGTTGATGCTCTTTTGCAAAGATTTTATTGTGTAGAGTAAACACTTAGTGATTTTTCGAATTGATTTCACTTCCCGAATTGATAATTTTTTTTTTATTTTTACAAACATGAATTTTTACATCGCAAATAATGTGCGGACGGGGGAGAGGGGGAGGGCGCATCGTGCCGCAAGGTATGGTTGCTGAGCAGGGGTGTAGCTAAAGACTTGCATATTTACATAATACTATATAAGGGTCGTTTTATCCGAGAATTGGCGAAATGTTCCAACCTGTTGGCAGCACAATTAAAGCAGAAGGGTTTTAGCACTGGCTCGATTCTTCTCTCTTTAGTAGTATAGATATTTTATATAATCCATAACGTCATTTTTAATTTTTATTGAGCTTCTTTTTTATGCAGTTTATGCAACAGGCAGGTGATGGGTATTTAAACACCGCACAAACAAAAAATAACATTTATCACATTCATCACCATTAAACAAAACGTTCGCCAGTTAGATACCGTTCTTGAGCACTCTTTTGGTAGTCTTTAGTCTTCTCTGATAGGAAGGAATTTGGGGTGACTCGCAGTGTGACGGTCCACGTCGACACTGTTAAACACACCACCCCGCCCAACTGCACGCGCAACAAGCCTCACAATAAAGACACGCCAAAAATAAATAAATATACACACGCCAGCGTTGCCAAATACGGTAATAAAGTTGTATGTTGTATTAACGTGCGCTCCACGCTGGCATTGAGTCGTCGCTTGATAACTAGATTTTTCTTGAGTTTTGTATATTACAATATTTTGTTTCGTTTCATGTTGCTCCCCTCTCTCCGACACTCGTTCTATTTCTGAGTATCACTCTTTGAATTACGGRCTCGAGTATCCTCGTTCAAATGGTCGCGTACTTTTCACATCCGTATGCCTGGTGTGCAGATTTAAAGCGGATGTCGTCACATTACTAGGCAGTTCACATACGCTTTTGATAGCCGTAGCACTACTTGGCSCTAGCCCAGCTGTCGCTCCACCCCCGCTGCTGCTACTGGGCGCTGTAGCTGTTGTTGCACTTGGACTTGTTGGTAGCTCCTCCACGGCATCGGCCGTTGTCACTGGCAGCACGTAGGCTGTCTTCTCAGCGGGTTCCACTACATCGTCTCGCCGCTGCAACGCATTCTTGCCGGTGATCGATGACTTGTAGGTGCTGTGATTGGAGCCAGCCAAATAGAATTTGAAGAATTCATATGTTGACCAGCAAATTGCGGTAGCGGGCATGGAGTACAATACGCGTGCCAACATGCCACGGAAGAAGCCTTTCACGCCAGCCACGGCGTAGATCTGCAAACAAAATTAAGCAATTCAATGATTACATTGCACATTGAAAGGGGGAAATTTGACTTGAAGGTTGCTTAAACACACGTAATATCACTACTTTCTTTACCTGCCGTATTGCTTCACCCATGCCCTTCGTGAGCCCATTCTCCTGTGTATTTAACAACGTTTTCACCACATCCAGTGGCGTTGTGAAGGCAGCAGCGGTTGCACCAGCTGCGCCACCGGCCACCATATGAACTACGGGACTATATCTCCGTTCATGATTCAACTGTTGSAAAGTAAATATGTATAATTTTTTACATAAAYAGCTATAATTTATTGGTATTTACCATATTTTGGAAAAATTCGTATGTGGCAAAATGTATTGTCTGATATGGTATATTCATCACTAGCTGTGTGGAGTATGATCTGTAGAATGCTTGGATGCCCTCAGTACGATATACGTCCTTCATACAGCTAATAACTGAACTATACTTTGAATTGTACATTTGCATGCGTTGTTTTATCACTTCCGTGGGATTCGATACGGCATCATGTATGAGTGTCGCTATAGCACCGGACGCCACTAAAGATTAAAATCAAGAAACTTTTGTGAAAAAACTTTAATATAGTATATATGAAATATTGTACTCACTATAATTGACATGATTATTGGTGGTGAACTTAGTCAGGAGCTCTTTCGTCATTTCGTAGGAACCAAAGTACAGCGCATGTGCGGGTCCGGCGCCAGCAACAACAGCGGAGACACCACGTATGGGTCTGTAGCAGCAGTCCATCAATAGTTATGAAAACCAATATAGAATTGCCAAAATTTTATCAGTATGGAAAATAACAAAAATKACTTTTAAAGTAGCAATTAACTCACCTCATAATACCCTCTTTCTTGATCATGTTCTTGAAGGTGGTGCTGATGTCATAGTTGGAAGTGACTGGCGATAAACTTTGCATTCTTGTCTGAAATTATGTATGTATACGTGTACAAACAATGGTGATAAGGTTTAATAATAAAGAGTATCTTATATGCAGGTCGTAAATTGAAATGTGACCCTATACATAATTGAGAAAATACATTTTCAAGTCTGCTATTTATTATTTAAAATTTATTTTGCATACGAAAATAAAGAGGTTGAGGTCGATATTGGTTTTGAATACGCACTCGCTTGCATCCATATGTACATATGTACATATAAATATATTATTTTTATGGACTGAGTGATGTAGCGGTATTGATTGTTCGCCAATACTGCATCTAATTGGGCAAATACAAAAACGTAATTGCAATGAAAATTAAGCCTATTTTTATTTAATATTGATTTTTTGTTCTATACAACTGTAATTAAAAAAATTGTGTGGTGAGGTGTTAACCTTTGATACCGCACCTAGTTGTTTTTTAAGTACTTAGTAATTGTAGTCTTCTATTTTCATTCGTAAATAAAGCGGTTTTACGCAATTTCGTAATCTAAATTAATATGATAAGTTCTCTACCTCAAGTTGCTGCACTTCAGGTCGGTACACAGCAGAAGCCGGTCGTCGAGTGCAGTTTATGATTGTAGATAGATGCACAAAAACGTGTATGTATGTATTCCACCAGATGGTGGTAAAAATGTCGTGTGCTCGGAAAAGGCAATTGATTTAAGCAAACAACGCCCAGCTATCACTACTCAAACAAAAACAAAATATTATTTATAACGCTGTTAGGTCCCTTGAAATGTTCTTAAAAAACAAGAAAAAATTAGTATAACATATTTGAGGAACGGGCAGTAAGAACTTATCTAACATTGAAATCTTAAACGACACTTGCGTGGTTTCCCAGAATAATTATACATATATGCCTTCACCACAATCGGCATRTCGAATTGGGAAACAAAATACATTTGTACCTTTGTCAGAATAGATATAMGACGATTGATTGGCATGATGCAGGAAAAATGATATAGTGAATAGTAAAACGATTGTGTGAGCTGAGTAGAAGTAGTGTTTGTAGCTGCTAAAATTTCATTGATATATGTATATGAAAGTAGAGAATTGCTCTCTAAAGTGTTAATTAAGTAATTTAATAAATAAAATTTCAATTATCGAAGTAGGAAAGTATTCACGAAAGTATTCAACGAAGAATAATATATTATAGGTTATATAATAGGCACGAAGCRAATACAAT